GAAAGGAGCCCACCGAGTGAAGTGACACATGGGAAATGGGATGGTGCTCCGCAGTACCTGGGGCGTGGTAACCACGAGGGCCCCCAGGGGGCTGTAGGGGCGCAGGGCATCCACAGCGGCCATGTGCTCATCAGAGGTTCCCGGGGGCGTGTCCACAACCAGGTAGTCCAGCTGCCCCCAGGCCACGTCAGACACAAACTGTTTTATCAGCGCTGTAAAGACCCAGGGAGGTCAGGTGGCAGGGGTCTCAGGAGGGGTATCCCCAAGTCCGCCTCTTCCACCTGGCCTCCAGTGCACAGACCTTCCTGCAGGTCCCGCGACCCTGAGAGCATGAGGACTCCATGCCACTCCTCACCCAGAATAGGGGAGCACAGTACAGCAGGAAGGTCCTCCCATCTGTTGGGCCACCCCACTCCACAGGACTTGTGCTCAGGCCTCGGTGGAGGACGGCTGGGGCTGTGACCCTTCTGGGGTGCCTGTGCCCGGCCTTGGGGACACCTCACCTTTCACAGCCTTAGAGAAGATGATCTAAGTGGAAGGAGCCCCTACGCTGTACCCACTACTCACACTTGCGGCCTCACCACCAGCTAGAGGGGTTTAATGTCATTTGCTGGTGCAGAGGCGCTGGAGCCCAATCTTGCTCTCCCCCAACACACACAGGGTGGGCTGGGGTCTGGGCAGACCCACCCTTCCTGCCCAGAAGAGGACCCTGTAGCAGATGGCCACATAACTGTACTTCACTCTCATCGCCCGCACCCATCAAGTGGAAGTGCACACCAACACCAGGCTGGGGCCTGACTGCTCAGATGAGCAGGAGGCCCTTGGGGTCAAGAGGGCCACAGCCCCAGGCTCCTGCAGTTTTGGTTTTTTAATCGAGCACAGAAGGGTTGGCAAGGGGAGGCTGTAAGGTTGACAGTGCCATCCTCTACCCGGTCATTACCATTCTTCTTGGGGCCTCTCCACACCACAGCCTCATCTGGCTTCTCCAGGAGGAAACCCACAGACATGAGGGAGATGCTCTGCTCCTGGTCCACGAAGACGGGCACCCAGCCGCTGTCACACTGGTGAACAGCCTTGCCCTCTGCCCGGAGCATTCGGGGGATGCTGGGGCCACAGAGGTCCACATCAAGGATCCCCACCTGAAAGGAGGCAGGATGTCTGCATGGCATGTAGGGGCCTCCCAAGGCAGGAAGAAACCAGCTGGCTGCCCTGTATGTCTACTGCAAGGGGCAGGAGCAGTAGCTCAAAAGTGGACAGGCGCAGTGGTTGGGGACAGAGGTGCTCACCTTCTTGCCTGCATGGCGCAGAGCCAGGGCCAGCTCCGTGGAGATGGTGCTTTTCCCGACCCCACCCTTTCCCGAGAGGACAAGGATGATATGCTGGATGCCGGCCAGGTTTCCAGGCTCTGCTCAGAAGGGTAAGAGGGGAGACCCTTTGCATTCACTGCTCACTCACTGGGTCATCACATACCTCCCGCCCTGAGACCAGGGGAGTCCTGAAACCTGTCTCTTCCACGGAAGGTCTTCCTGCAGTCCCCAGACCTGAACCACTGGTTCCTCCAATGCTGCCGCTCCCACTACTGTCTGAAATGCCCTAAACCGTTGTTCTTTCTAGTGCATATGTGTGTGATTGCACACCTATGTGCTTGCACACACAGGCGATGAACCAATAAGCTGCTGCCGCCCAGCTTATTCCGATGGAACTAGGTAGAGACTAATGCAGACGGAGCCATTATAGCCATGAGGGACCTCTTTGCCCAGGTAGCACCCACCCCTCTCCTCTGGGGTCAGAGAGGCACTCGAGGCAGCCTTGGCCTCCAGTCTCAGGAGGGACACTTACAGTTCTGGAGATCCAGAGCAGCTGCAATCATGTGTGCATGTATATGTCAGTGTCACCAGGCTGCTAGCTGTGCCTTAAGAAATGCCAGGTACACAAGGGCAGGTACAGGATGTACCTGCGTCCTTGGTCATTCCCACACAGGTCCTGGGCCCAACAACTCTGTGGATCCCTACTGGCCACCAGCCACTATGCCCCAGCTTTTCTTCCTTCCAAATGTTACCAAATACTGTTGCAATCGTGCATATGTCAGTGTCACCAGGCTGCTAACTGTGCCTTAAGAAATGCCAGGTACACAAGGGCAGGTACAGGATGTACCTGCGTCCTTGGTCATTCCCACACAGGTCCTGGGCCCAACAACTCTGTGGATCCCTACTGGCCACCAGCCACTATGCCCCAGCTTTTCTTCCTTCCAAATGTTACCAAATACTGTTGCAACCCTTGCAACCTGCATGAGTTGCCATCTGCATATACACAACCCTCAGTCCCTCTGCAAAGCCCCCACATTCTTGCCCCAGCGCCCTCAGGACCTCACCATCCTGACTCCTGCCTGGCCTCCAACAAGTTGCTCTCTCTGCCACCCTCCCTGCACACCTGGGTCCTTGGGTAGGGCTCAAGCATAAATACTGTCCCTCCTCCTGATCCATTTCTCAAGGGTACTTTCAAAGGCCTCCACCTCCAAAGCTTCCCTAGGAAGAACTGAGGGCACCTTCCCTGGCTCTTAAGCAGGTCCTTGTCATCACTGCATTACAGTGCCTGTCATAGGTCTGCTTCCAGCATGTGGGGCTGGGACATCTTGAAAGGTGACAAAGGGGAACCACCCCCATTACTGTCTGCAAACACCAAGCCCCAGACCATGGCTCCAGGTCACCCTTGTGGCAATTGAAGAGATTATTTACTTAAACTACTTAACATCAAATGGTATTTGAGAGTCAACTTCACTTTTGTTGGAAGAGGAGGGGAAGGCTCTGGTGGAAACACGAGAGCCAGATCTGGGTCCTGGTTCAGTCAAGCTCTTAATTGCAAAGATCTGCTTTCCTCTGGTGGGAGTGGGGAATTCTATCTGAGACTCAAACAGGACACTCATGTTCTGTCAGGTAACTGGAAGGAGCAAAGAACTTCTCAGACAGCAATTCTTACCGGTCAGCCAAAGAACCTTTCATTACTAAGTAAACTTATAAACAAACAAAGTATATTCACTGAGTGCCTACTAGATGTGAGAGGCTGTGATGGAAGGGGCAAGAAAAGTAGTACCTCCCCTGAGAAAAAAGAAACCTACATTGCTAACAAGTCCCTAACAAATCCTGGTGAGCCTCATCAGTAAGTCTAACCAATCGCGATTATTTGATACACTGGATACATCTATAAGAAAGATAAAACTGACATCGAGGACTGCCTCAGGGCACAGGGAGGTCAAATTTTTTTTTTTTTTAACCGCATACTCTGTTAGGCCTTTTGAATTTTTATGTGCATCTTCCCCCTAGTTAGCTCTTTTTTGACTGATCAATCTAGAAGATATTCCTACCTTGTAGTGAATTTAACACGCCGTTTCAGATTTTTTCCCTCCAGTGTTATGATCTTATGGATGAGTTCAGCCTGTAAGAGTTTGGTGCCCAAGGCATGAGGCCAGAGGCCTTTCAGAAGATAATATGGCAAATCCCTATTTATGAAGGTCTTTTTTGGTTAATTTGTGCAAATCTAATTATATCCGCTTGTATGTATTCCGTCCCACACTGCTTTCATTTTTCTTTTTAAGTATTAAGCTTTAGAATGCTAGAATAAAACTTCCACAAAGAATTAAAAGCATGTGATGTTCCGGCTTCTTTTTAGAACCCTGTAAACGAGACTCTTTCCTAACTAATAAAATCTAAGCCTCAAATTTTGCCGCATCACCGGGATACCAAAACAAACAAACAACAAAAAAACCCATGGCATAAAACTTGGCAGAATTGTGTTTTTAACAGCGAACATGTTCTCTGCCTGAATTCAACGTCTACGAGCAGCGCCGCGGTTACGTGAAAACTTGTAACTTGAGTTACAAGCAGAAGTACACGTGCGCCTCCACGACCCTCACAGTACAAATAAGACGATTCGCTAAACACCCGGAGCCCAGACCAGCAGTTACGGGCCGGCTCCTTGCCGCTCCTCCCGGTACCAGCGGACTCACCCGCTGCCTCCTCCATCTCTTTCGTTGAGCCGCGCGGCTTCCGTCCGCTTCCACTCGCTCCGTCCGCCTCCAGTCAGAGTGAAGAGCATTTGGGCCATTGGGAAGCGCGAGCCCGTCCCCTGGTTGCTCTTGATAGGCCTACTCGCGCTTCTCTCAGCCAATCAGATCACACGACGGGTGTACGCAGGTTCCGGCGCGGACAACGTACAGGAGAAGGTCCACTTCCGTGTCAACGCCCGACAGCTTGAGATGTGACCAATGGGGATGCTGAGTCAGGATTGATAGGCCCAGCAACCCCTTGGCAAGAGCCGTGTGCCGCGCAGCCCGTCCCCCGCGCCGAAGCCCCGGGCAAGGAGCGCCCGCCTGCGACAAGTGGGACCAATGAGGCGCGGGGGGCGGGTCGTGGGCGGGGATTGTTTACGTCTCGCTCCGGAGCGGAAAGTGGGTCACGGCAGGCGGCGGAGCGCGGCAGCGGAGCAGCGCAGGTGAGGGCAGGTCGCGTCTTCGCCTTCCCGCCGGACAATCTGGGGACCCTGCGGGACCGCCAGCGGTGGAGCCTGGCTGTACCTTTGTTCCCTCAGGCGGCGCCAGGGCCCGGCGGGCTGCCCTGCACAGTAGGCCCGCCGCCGCGCCAGCAGTAGAATTAGTAAGCACCTCCCGACACTAGAATTAGTAAGAGGCTTGCTTCGAGGCCAGCGATGTGCCGCCGGCTTCGGGGAGGGGATAGTCTCATGGGCTGGTCATTTCACGTGCATCGCGTGGCGCCGACTGTGCTCTGCAGACGCAGCGGATGGTGACTAGGCCAGCCGACTGGAGCCGGCTCCAGGACTGGCTCCGGCTGGCGGGTGAAGGAGCCGCGCGGCGGCGTTGCTGGAGGGCCCTGGTTTCGAGGGCAGCGATGTGCCGCCGGCTTCGGGGAGGGGATAGTCTCATGGGCTGGTCATTTCACGTGCATCGCGTGGCGCCGACTGTGCTCTGCAGACGCAGCGGATGGTGACTAGGCCAGCCGACTGGAGCCGGCTCCAGGACTGGCTCCGGCTGGCGGGTGAAGGAGCCGCGCGGCGGCGTTGCTGGAGGGAGGGGAACCTAGCTGTGCAGACGGCGCTTTCATCTCTGGAAAGCAGTTGCCTGCACTCGTACACTGACAGCTCTAGCCTTTTCGCTTTGGGGGACCTCACTACGGAACAGTCACTCCTTTTCTGGGGACTTCAGTCCGGAAGAGAGCTAGGCAGTAGATCATCATAGAAATCGAGGTGTTACTGTCAGTAGGATACGGAAGCTGAGAGCCAAAGAGAGAAGGGGAAGGCATCCGGGCAAAGGGCAGGGAAGAACTAGCAACTGGGACAAGGCCAGTGTGGCTTCGAGAAGCGCAAGGGAACTTGATGGGTTTTGGGAGATTTTGTCTTTTATCCTAAGAACTCTAACAAGCTCTGAGTTTTAAGGTTTGTTAAGATTTACTTAAAATTTAAAGATGTTTCAAAAACAGTTTGGCTGTAGGGAGTGAAATGGGTGGGGTGGTACCGGGGTGGTGGCAACGAGTAGCGCATATGGATTCAATGCATGTTTTGGAGGTGGCATGTTTTGGAGGTGGCATGGGGATGTGTGGGTCCCTTGGGCCATGATGGGAAAGAGGAAGGATGGTCAAGGATGACTCTTGTGAGTATGGCATGAGGAACTGGGAGATTGGAGATGCCATTTGTCAAACTAGGCAGTGGAGGAGGAGCCAGGTGAGGTATGAGATGCCTGAGGGACATATAGGCTGGACAGCTGGGTTCCTGAGGCTGAGCTCAGAGAGGGGCTGAGATATACATTTGAGAGCCATGTATGTCTGGATGGCTTTACACACTCTCTACCTAGGTTTTATCAAGGTGCTTGGACACTGCAGTGAGGTAGGAGCTTGTGAGGAGAGTTCTGGAGTCCCAGCTCAGCACCCACGTGACTCATGAAAGCCTTCGCCTTTGCGGGGGTGCTGGCACAGTTGGCCAAGGGCTAAGGGCAGGGGTAGTTGGGAGACCTTCCAATATTCTGCATGTTTCATTTGCTTAGAACCTGTTTTTTTTTTCCTCCCTCTTTCAGATCCTGTCCACAATGGCCAGGCGCCCCCGGAGCAGCAGAGCATGGCATTTTGTCTTGAGTGCAGCCCGCCGAGACGCAGATGCCCGGGCTGTGGCTCTGGCAGGGACCACTAGCTGGGGCTATGACTCTGATGGGCAGGTAGGTCACAGCAGATGAGGTGGGTACCGCTGGACTAAGGTGTGGAGACCTCTGAGGCAGACCATGCCTGAAATGAGACCCCCCTGAGGGCAGAGGATAGAAACAATAGGATTCTACTGCTCACTTAGGGTTTACCATGATTATGGACCCAGGTGGCCCTGGGGGTGACAGGACCTCATGACAGATGCCATGTCCCTCTCTATACTCTTTTCACTGAAGAGGGTGGCAGGTGGTTTTTTTGTCAGTTCAATCAACAGAACATCTCCATTCCATTTACTCTGCCAGTTTCCAAAGGTAGCCATCATTAACTCAATGTGCACCCTGGACAGTTCCTGTGTGTACAGATATGTGCTCTATATTCATGTATGTGCATGTAAAAAAAAAAAAAAGGGATCTTTTGTTCTCAAATACCATAATTCCTGTGCCTTCCTCCACTCAGTGGCTTCAGAGTTCTAGGAGCCCAGAACTGTAGAGGTGGTCGGTACAGCAGCTTAGCTGTTTGTCTCAGTGCAGGCTGCCTGATGTACCTGCGGGCTTTATAGCCAGAGCCTGGCTATACCCATCCCTGGTGGAACGGCAGGGCTGCATGGCCTTTGCACCTATTGTGGCTTCTGTCACTTTAGACCAGAGCCAAAGGTTGGCTCCGCCCTGAGTACCTCCATTGCTTCCTGTCTGTGCTGTCTCAGCTACCCTGCATTGTTGCCCTGGCTCACCCACGTGTCCTGGGTGGGGGTAGGTACCGCTCCTCCCTAGAGTGAGGGCAGCTGAGCCCTGTGGAACCAGCAGGCCTTGGGGGAGAATTTGAGGTGACTCTTCTGGGTTGCCAGTGTCCTTCCTAGGCCTCTTCCTGGGGCCTCCCCAAAATCTCTGCCCAAGCCAGCAAGAGGCCCCAGCGGCCCCAGCAAAACTGCTTCCAGCTCGTCCTGACTACATGGCCTGGAGCAGATTGTTCTGTCTGTTCCTGCCTTGCTGGCTCATCATTGTGGGATGCAGGAGGTGTCAGGGGGCTGAGGTACAGTGTCTGACACATGCTTGCATGTGGCTTGCCCTGTCATCTAATGGGCCTGGAGTGGGTAGGTGTGCGCACGCATGCGTACAGGTGAGTGTTAACCCAGCACCTTTGAAAGCTGAACACACACATCTCCCTTTCCTTCTACCCTTATGGCTTGCATTTGGATCAGGTTTGCTCCCTGCCTAGGTTGACCTCCAGGCCTGTGGTACTTAGGTCTGTGCACCTGACTCCATGGGAAGGGGGTTGCCTCTGCCTGGCCTGCTTTGGCTTTTGGGGACCACCATTCCATACTAGTAGGGTGATTTAGGCCTCCTTCCAGTCTCTTTTCTTGAGTCTGTCTCTGACTGGGGCTCAACCTCCTCAGCTCAGTTTCTCTGGTTGATTCATGAGCTTCTGTGCGGGCCCTGGATATAATAGGAAAGAATCGAGGACCTGGCTCTTTCCTACAGTTTCTGTTCCGGTGGGAGGCAGGTCAACAGGACAAAGGAGACTGTCAGGGGAGCAGATGAGAAGGAAGAGGTCCTGGGAGGGAGGGCTGGATGAGCCTCTTTGAGTTGATACCTGAAAGCTGCCATTTAGGAGCAAAGAGACTCTCTCCCTGCCATGACACGTGAGGGAAGAGGGGCCAGGCCAGGGGGGGTGGCTGTTTGGCTCTGATGGGAGGTGTGGGCTTTATTTTCAGTTTGGCAGGATCTATACCAGGTCAGAAAGGGGAGCACCCAGAGGCCAAGAGACTAAGGATGGAGACTGTGACCTGACCAGGACCCTGAGCAAACAAGGGCTGGCAAAGCAGTCAGGCAGAAGCTATCTGAACCCTTTGGGCCCTAGGCAATAAGACCTCATCCCCTCAAGGGTTAGACTGAGGTCCAGAGTCAAGGTGGGCATCTGGTAGGGTTTCTGTAGTTTCAGAGAGGGACTGATTAGGTACACAGAGAACATCTATTGCTGGTCTCCAGGAGAGTGTGGATCAGTTGGTTGCCAGAATCTGACCAGCACAGCCAGGGATCAGGCCCTGGACTTGGAACAGGCACTGTGAGGACTAAGACCCACACCCTGCAGGCACTCAATGAATATTGTCCTGCGACAGAGGCTTAGAGTAGCAGCATGAGAACCCTGAGCTTCTCAGGGTCCAGGATTAGGGGTTAACAGCCACCACATGCAAAGATGACGGGGGCTGTAGCCCAGGAAGGCAAGTAAGCACTGTCACAGTGAAGAAGCCCTAACTGGAACACAGCTGGTGCCCGTGGGGAGACCCAGGCTGCCTTTATTAGGTCAACAGTGGACTTTGCCAAGGGGACCCCCTGCTTCAGGCCACCCTTGATGGGGGCACAGCTTACCCATGATCTAGACGCTGCCTAGAGGATGATGGCCAAACACAGTCCTGCTGTGGGCTCATCAGTGCCTGGGCCTCCATGCTCCCTTGGTTGTGCAGAAATGGAGTCTAGCCCTTGAGCCCACTCTCAGGGAGCCAGCAGCCTGGTAGACCTTTGAGAAGGGCCTCTGACTCTCAGTACTCATCCTTGCTGAAGGCCTCAGTTCCTGAGCCAGGAAGTGTCAAGGGTCACTCTGGGGGCACTATGGAAGGGTGAGCCAGCTGTGCGCTTGGGACCTGAGTAAACTCCCCGATCCCTTCCTTTGGGTATCAGAGCAGTTCACCCATTGGCCTGGGGGCGGGGGGTGTTTGGGCAGATGGAAGACAGAGAGCACAGCAGCAGGTAACAGTCTGCCCTTTTTTCCCAGCACAGTGACTCAGACTCTGACCCTGAATACTCGTCCCTGCCACCATCCATCCCCAGTGCTGTTCCCGTGACAGGGGAGTCCTTCTGTGACTGTGACAATCAGAGTGAGGCCTCCTTCTGTGGCAGCCTACACACGGCCCACCGGGGCAAGGACTGCCGCTGTGGGGAGGAAGATGAGCGTGAGCACCCAGTGTGGGGCCACCTGGGCTGGCTGGGGTGGGCCTCCAGGCCCCGGTGGGGAGGGCCTGGTTGGGGTTCTGGAGACTGCCCCAACCTGGGCCTCTCTTCTTAGATTTTGATTGGGTCTGGGATGACCTGAATAAGTCTTCAGCCACCCTGCTGAGCTGTGACAACCGGAAGGTCAACTTCCATGTGGAGTACAGCTGCGGTACAGCAGCCATCCGAGGCACCAAGGAGCTGGGGGAAGGCCAGCACTTCTGGGAGATCAAGATGACCTCACCTGTCTATGGCACCGACATGGTAAGTGGCTGGCAGGGCATGATAGGGGGACAGATAATGCTGAGTGCCTTGGCCCTGGGCCCCCTCTGCCCTGCTTGTTATCCCCAGATGGTAGGCATTGGAACATCAGATGTGGACCTGGACAAGTACCACCACACGTTCTGCAGCCTGCTCGGCAGGGATGAGGACAGCTGGGGCCTCTCCTACACAGGTGCATGGGGCCCCGAGGGCAGATAGGCTAGGAGGGAACACCAAGCAACAGGGCTCACCCCCACCCTGCTGTCCGCCAGGGCTCCTCCACCACAAGGGCGACAAGACAAGCTTCTCCTCGCGGTTTGGCCAAGGCTCCATCATTGGTGTGCACCTGGACACCTGGCATGGGACACTGACCTTCTTTAAGAACAGAAAGTGCATAGGTGAGGGCAGCTCGGACCTGGGGGTGGGGGACATATGCCTGCAGGATATGACTGCTATCAAGAGCCTGTAGGAAGTGGAGGCAGGGGCGCAGGCTGAGTGGTCCTAAGGTTTCCTGAAAGGCTGTCCTTGAAGAAGCCTGAGGTCTCAGGGTCTCCAAAGGTGGGGAAAGCACAAGGGCCAAGTCCTCTGCTATCTCAGGAGGATGTCCCCACCTGCCCCAGAGTTCAGGCTGTGCCCCCTCCTCCAGGAGTGGCAGCCACCAAGCTGCGGAACAGGAAGTTTTATCCGATGGTATGCTCCACGGCAGCCAAGAGCAGCATGAAGGTCATCCGCTCCTGCGCCAGTGCCACCTCCCTGCAGTACCTGTGCTGCCACCGCCTGCGCCAGCTTCTACCCGACTCCGGGGACACACTTGAGGGCCTTCCTCTTCCGCCTGGCCTGAAGCAGGTGCTACACCACAAGCTGGGCTGGGTCCTGAGCATGAGCTGTGGCCGCCGCAAGTCCCCTGCGTCCTCACCCAAGGCCACAGCCAGTCCCAGCAGCCCTGAGACCCGGCGCTGCCAGAGGAAGCGCTGCCGACGGACCTAACTTATTTTTCAATGAAAACTGCCTTCTGGGGTTGGGCAGCATTTTCTCCATCCCTTCCTTTGGGCCATGCTCCAGGGCAACGGAGAATGTAGAGTTGGGCCCAGGTCTGTCTGGGCTGTGCCTCTGCTGTATGAGGCTGGGATAGGCCTTGCTACAGGGGCTCAGGGGCCACAGGCCCTGCGATCCTGAGATCAGTACTATTCGAATCCATCTGCTTCCTGTGCTGGGTATGGGATCTGCCACTTCTCTTCTCGGAGTCTCCTGGGAGTGGCCACCCCAGCTCTTCTGGATTCAGACGGCAGGCCCAGAGGTTGTGGTCTGCAGCTTCGTTAGAGGTCAGCTCTTCCTGTGGTCATTGGCCTTGGGAGGCCTTGGGTTTGTCTTCACTTGCTTTGCATGTTGTCAGCTGCTGTTCCTCTTGTCCGAGACTGAAACCACCGTAATAAACTTTGAGTTTATGTCTAACACCTCCACAGCAGTAGAATTAAAAGAGTCTGGATTGAGGCCTGGGGCTCATGTGTGTCCATGGTTTTTCTCCTGTAGTTTTGGTCATCTCAATATCCTTGGGAAGAGGTGGCCTGGTTCTTGTTCCCTGCTTCTCTTCTCTGAAGGTGCCACACCCAAGCCTCCAGGTGACTGGTGTATGTCCCCAGCAGGGACTTGGGTGCTCCCTAGCCCTTCCTGGCTGTCCCAGCTAGCCACTAGGCCTGCAGCCAGTGTCTAAAGGGCCCAGAGCATGTGAACCCCACCTCAGCCCCTTCAGCCCCCTGGCATCTGCTGGAATTTCCTCTTCTGTTCATCCCAGTTATCCAAGAACCTTCCCTGCTACCCATGCCTGCCCCTCGGGGTAAGGCTTGACTGAGAGCCCCTTCCAGGCCAATGCAGATTATGCTAGATGGCTGCTCTCCTCCCCCCACCCCCCACCCCTTGTGGTTTCTGGTCAGTCCCTTGCTGGGCTGCCTGTTGTCCTGCTGGTTGGTGAGAGAAGTCCCTGAAGGTCTAGCAGGAATGTCAGGAGCTCAGGTCCAGCAGGAGATCAGGATCGGTGGAGGTCAGGAAGAGGTAGATGCGACGAGAAAGGTCAGGCCCTACCCTTCGGGGCCTCTTGCCCTTGTCCACCTTGACAGGAAGGTCAGTCAGGAGGGCCAGGCGCTCCTGCTCCGTGCCACAGGCCACATAAGCCTAGGGCAGGCACAGGGATAAGCAAGGCGGGCCTCAGGGACCCTATGTCTGTAGATATCTGGGAGTGTTGGGGGGGAGGGTGGAGAAAGGGCCCACCTGCTGCAGAAGGCGTGGGGAGGGGTAGGCAGTGACAACAGCGTCGGCCATGGCTGGGCTGACTCGGTTGAACTGCCTGATCTGCCGCCACCAGGCCCCCCGCAGCCCTGTGCCATCTCTTGTCACTCGCTCGCCTGCCATCCAGCGCCCAGCAGTGCAGAAGGAAAATGCCTGGAACTCCCGGAACTGCCTGAGGACAGGGAGGGTGCAGGGAGGCTTCTAGAGGCTTCATCTCTCCTGACCACCAAGACCCCCAGCTCAACAAAGCCCTTAGTCATCTGTTCTCAGGCCAAGGATGCACCACCCTCCTGGCATTTCTGTCACCCTCCCAGCCACAGCCACCATCTGGGGTGGAGGTCACACACTTGAACGGGCGCTGGGCGAGGGCCTTGGTGAAGGTGCACACGTGCTGACTCAGCTCCTGCCAGGAGGCCACTAGCAGCACGTCCAGGTTTGCCCAGAGCTGCAGAAACACCAGGGCCTAAAGAGGCAAGCCGTGGGAGTGGGTCAGAGAAGGGCTCCCCTGGGGGACACCCAGCTAAGACAAACCCCACATGCCACCCTGGGACCAAACCCAGTTGCTGGGCCTCAGTAGCCTTAGTGCCAGAGCCAAGGCCAACTACCTCACCCAACCTGACGTGCCCTTACCTCTTCCACTTCAGACCAGCTGACCGCCACCTTAGCATGGGCCACCCCTGGATTCTCTGGCTGCTGCATCTCCTGGGCGTCGGGCTGGCGAGACCTGAGCAGAGGTGACTGTCCCTCCAGCTCCCAACACCCCATTTGTCCCACCCTCCTTGAGTTCTGGTTCCCCCAGCGCCTAGCAAAAGGAAGGGTTAGCTATATCACAGCAGCCTTGGAGCTACCCCAACCTTTTTCCTGAACTTCCCCATCCCAGCCAGGCCTGCTAAGAGTGTGAGGGTGGCCGGTACCAAAGATAGGCATCTAGCCCGATGACAGCCAGGTGAGGGCAGGCGGGGCTCTCAGGAGGTATCCAAGGCACCGAGCAGGTTGAGCCACAGATCTGCAAGTCAAGAAGGTTTACCACATCTGTTCCTCCGGGCTGCAGTAAGCAGAGCCCATAGGCCACCATACCATTGCCAGTTTGCAGAAAGAAGGGGAGCAAGAATGACCCAGTGATGCTGGGATAAGACTGGAATGGACTTGCTCTGCTCAGCTAGCTCTCTAGAAAACAAGCTGTGTGCCTCCCGCGAGGTCAAGGGGACCTACAAAAGCCTCCAGGAATGTCCCAGGTTCCTAGAAGTGCTGGGCTGAGTCCCCCTCCCTAATTCCTGGTCCACCTCTGTACCCAGTCTGGCATTTGCTTGGCAACAGGTACCTGATAAATGCTGAACCTCAGACACTGGGACTGGGCAGAGTCTAATCTAATGACACTCTGATGCAAACATCAGCTGAGCAGTCCCTATTGCTCCTCCAGCCTGGCGGGGGCTGAGCTGTTTGCTGTCACAGGTGGACGGCAAAGCCAACCCGAAGCCCCAGGCTCCCTCTCACCAGTTTCCTGCCTCTGGCTTCTGACTCACCTCTCCAGAGGGCCTTCCTTATCCTGGCTTCTGCCCTCTAGAAGCAGCTGCAACTCCCATATGCTCCCTAGCCAAGAGTCCACATGGTTTCTCCTATCTCAACCATAACATCTCGGTTGCTGATCAGAGTGGAGCCCCAACCCACTGCACACCCTCTTCATCCCCTCTGCCTTTCAGCAAGACTGGCAAAGCAGCATTTCCAGGCTGGGAACCCAACCTCCCACCGAGCACCTGGGTCAGTTGGAGGACACCCTGCAGAAACTCCTCAGGCTCCAGCAGCAGCAGCAGGAGGTCCTGCTCACCTGCAGCCCACACCTCAGGAGGCACCTGTGGGGATATCCAGGAGCATGGCTGTCTACCCTCCGCCTTGAGTGCCCCAGGGCCTTTCCCTGGGCATCACAACAGCTCTGAGGCTCATGGCCACAGCAAATACCATATCCACTAGGACAGCTCTACAGAAGCCAATGTGGTCTCCTGCTGAGACCAAGACTAGCCCTAGTCTGTAGGGCCGGCTGGAGCACTGAGCACAGCCTCAGTGAGGGTGGAACGTTCCTCTGCACCAGCTCAGTTCAGACCCTGGACCTAGCCCTGCAACTGACCGGCAGAGCAGTTATTACCCCACTCAGCATCCCCCATTCTTAGTTTACATGTGATTACAGCAGTTGCCTCATTTGAAATCAATGAGGTAAAACAGCCAACCCAGGGCCGCACTATGTAAACCCAGGAAATAAGGCTGCTGGTGGCAGGAACTAGGGGCACTCACACTGTGGAAGCAAGGTTCTGGCTTCACTCTGCTCCACCTGAGGCTCCGAGCAGGGCGCTGCGGATCAATGTGGTACTCACAGCCCAGGGAGTCCAAGGCCTCCATCAGGATGTCAGCACCAGCATCTTCTAGGATGGCTGGGGTGGGATGGAGAGACAGCTGTCACTCCTTTCCCTCCATGTGAGGACGCTACTCACAGCAGACCCGCAGCCTGAGCTGCATGTTATAAATGCACTGATTCCTCTCACTGGCTGCAATAGCGCAGACTGGGTTTAGATCCCTAAGTCTGTCTTTTAAATAAGCTCCCAGGTGGAAACTCCACACCAATTTCCGGCCAAAAGGCAGCCTTAAATGCCCCTCTCACCCCGCAGGGGGCCGGGGACCACCTCCCAGTGATTAAGGGGAGCTTCCAAAGGCCAAGCTCTAGCAGAAGAGCAGCTTCTTTCAGCCCCCACCCGCCCTCGCCCTGCGCCCCGGGCGCACCTGGGTCCACACGCACTACTAGGCGCCGCAACGCCTGCTCAGGCCGCAGCAACCGCAGCGCCTCGGCCGCCGCCCTGCGCTTCTCTGCCGGGTCCGGGGCACTCGCGGCGGCCTCTGAGTCGGCTTCCGCGCCGGTGGGGCCCTCGGTGTCTGAATCTGAGATCTCCCAAGTCGAGGGCCGCCGCCGTCCCCGGCCCCGGCCCCGGT